TGGGTATATTCCAAAGTATTAGAAATGGTTCTATTATAAAGACACATGCACACTTATGTTCACTGTGGCACTGTTTACAATAGCAAGGACCTGGAACCAACCCAAATGCCCATCGATAATAGACTGGACAGGGAAAATGGGGCACATATACACCATGGAATACTATACAGCCATAAAAAATGATGAGTTCCTGTCCTTTGTAGGGACATGGATGAACCTGGAAACCATCATTCTCAGCAAACTGACACAAGAACAGAAAATCAAACACCACGTGTTCTCACTCACAGACAGGTGAACAATGAGAACACATGGACACAGGGAGGGGAGCATCACACACTGGGGTCTGTTGGGGGGTACTAGGGGAGGGACAGTGGGGTGTAGGGAGTTGGGAAGGGACAACATGGGGAGAAATGCCAGATGTAGGTGATGGGGATGAAGGCAGCAAGCCACATTGCCATGTATGTACCTGTGAAACAATCCTGCATGTTCTTCACATGTACCCCAGAACCTAAAGTGCAATAAAATAATATATTTTTTTAAAAAAGAGAGAGAGAATGTCTTTCTCTTATTTGAAGCCTGCAAGCTTGTAATTTGTCACAGCAGACTTTGCAAATGAACACAGGTGGTGAGCCCAGATCATACCAGGAGGGGATGGAGGAGTGAGCAGGGGAAGAGATGCATCCCATACCGGGTGTGTTCAAGAGGCGTTACCGCTGTAGGCAATTGAGAGTCCGGCCAGTCTGGGACACTGGATGGAGCACAACTCAGAATGGTCCTATGCCTGGGCAAGGAAGCCAGGGCACATAACCACTAACTCCCTCAGTCAGTGCTGCACCTGCTTCTGGTGTGAGAACACCTGGAACCTCCAGCCTGCCCTGGGCCAGGACAGGTCTGCCCTGGAAGGGTGGGACAGCCACAGCATCTGTCACCAAGTGGGCTAGAGACAGGGCCATCTCATTTATTAGGGAACTTCATTGACTGAGCAGTGGCCCTGGGCCAGGTACTGGTCAGGGCACCAGTTTCCAGGATTGAAGGCTATAGACAAGAATCCTGCACTCACACAGCTTCCATTATAGTGGACTGGGAGGGATGGTGCACAAGACCACTGCAGGAGAGACAAGAATGTCCCGAAAGCAGGATGATGTGAAAGAGGGGCCGGGGCTGTGAGCTGAGGCATTTATGATAAGAAGTCCACCAGCCAAACTCGGGATAAGAATGCTCCAGTCAGAAGCAAGTGGAGTTAGCCTCAAAGAGGCAGGGGCGCAAGCAGGTGGGTGACATGGACAGTGGTGTGTGTGCAGACCCTCCGAGAGTTCCTCAGCAGGACTCCCTGCCTAACACAGTTCAGCAGTTTCCCACTTATTTAGGGCAATGGCTGGGTGCTTATGCCCCACAGAGGACATTTGGCAATGTCTACTGACAGTTTGGGTTGTCGCAACCCAGCGGGAGAAACGTGATACCAGCGTCTCATGGGCAGAGCCAGGGAGGCTGCTGAACATCCTACCATGCACAGAACGGCCCCTCACCAAAAGGATTATCCAGCCCCAAAGCCCACAGGGCCAGGGTTGAGAAACCCAGTCTTGGAATGCAAGCAATACCCTCGCCCCCGTCTTACAAAGCTATATGTATTCTACTCTGCTGGCACCTCATACCACCTTGTTCAAGCCACGTGGGCTTCTCAGAGCTTCAAACACGCCAGGATCTTGCCTACCACTGAGCCCTTCCCCGAGGCCCTCTTTCTTCCAGTCTTCCGTGGTCGATTCTTTATCCTTCAGGTCTCAGCTTGGAAGCCACCTCCCAGCAGAGGCCTCTTCTGGCTGTTGCATGAAATGTTCCTTCCCCTTCCAATAGCCACATTCCCCCACTGGTTGTCTTCCTAACACTTAAACACCTTTTGAGCTTCTCATCTATTTACTTGCCCCTCATTTATTACAGCTGCCCATTAGAATGAGGGCAGGACTTGTCTGGACTATTGGCTGCTGAATTCACAGCCACTAGCACAGTTCCTGGCTCATGGTGGGTGCTCAGTGGATATCTGGCTAGTGAATGAATGAATCTTGCCCTTGAGAAGGGTATATATCTTTTGCTAAATGCAAGAGTATCAGCTCCCAAGGCCATGGCAGCCCTCCCAGGTTTAGAATGCCCACAGTGACACAGTGCCGGCCCCAGGAAGTGCTTATTCTCCATCGTGATACGATATGATGTCACTTTGCATTCGCTTTCTGCTCTGTGGGATTTCATGCCAATTTCTCATCCATCTAGGGGGACTTCACTAGTCTCAAGTGGAGCTGAGACTGTCATTTTGATTCTGTGTTCTCCAAAGGGGGCTAATGCTCATGAAGCCACAGAGCCAGCTGGAGAACAAGTGTTCCATAGATCTCAATGCTGTGCATGACCTTACAGGAATGTTTGAAAGCAATTTCATGGAAAGCTGGCAATATCGCCGAAAAGCATGACCTTAGCTGGGGAAAGCTGTTTTACTTGGACCAATTAAGGGAAACTGTTCAACATCATCTGTTTGATATTTTACTAGGCAAAAACAAATGAAAACATCTATCAACACAGGAAACTGGTTACCCAAGGAAAATTCATTTTTCCCCACTTAAGAGAGAGTGCTGAGAATATATTTTTGTTTCCCCTTCTTCTCAAAATACCATTTACATGATATCAGAGAAATTTTCCATAAAGAATAGACCTTTAACACCAAGGAAATTGAGAAGAGATAGCAGTGAATGAGCTACAAATTTCTGCAAGATGAAAAGAGGATGAAGCCTTTTGATAAAATGGAAGCAGAACATGCTAGAGCTTGAACAGCAGAACCCATAGAGGCTCCATGTGTGAGAAGGGGGCCCACAAAGAGGCTGGCTGATAGGCTGTGTATGGACAACCACTCCTGTCTGGTTCACTCACTCCCCTTCCCCGCTTCTTTCTCCTAACCAGAGGTAGTTGGACCCTTTATCCCTAGGCATGGGAGCACACGTGTACACAGACATACACATACACATGATTTTCTCTAAAGAAATTGATTAACTGTCTGGGGATAAATGGGGCATAAGAACTCCTTTAAGTCTTTGGGTACCTAAAGGCCAGGTCGCCAGCTGCTTTCCTGATGTGAAGCCAGCCTATGGAAAAGCTCCACCACCCACCTAAACCTGTAGTCATAAAATTTCCCATCAGGAGACACCTAGCAAGGGGAAACAAAGGCAGAGGAAACTCTAAAAACCCAATCCAGTTGCCCAGGGTTAAATACAAATGGGTCAGCAGACAGATGAACAAAACCAATGGCATGAAAAAGCAAGAATGAGAGAAACAAAAAAAAACCTGCCTCTGGAAGAAACAGATGCAAGTCAAAGAAGGAAGGAGAGTTTAGGAGGGGAAAAAAAGACACTAATTGATATGGCTTGGCTGTGTCCCCACCCAAATCTCATCGTGAATTGTAGCTCCCATAATTCCCACGTGTTATGGGAGGGACCTGGTGGGATGGGAGAAAACTGAAACATAGGGGCGGTTTCCCCCATACTGTTCTCATGGTGGTGAAGTCTCACGAGAGCTGATGGTTTTATAAGGGGTTTGCCCTTTCTCTTGGCTCTCATGCTCTCTTGTCAGCCACCATGTAAGGTGTGACTTTCACCTTCCACTATAATTGTGAGGCCTCCCCACCCACGTGGAACTGTGAGTCCATTAAACCTCTTTTTCTTTATTAATCACCCAGTGTCGAGTGTGTCTTTATCATTAGTGTAAAAACAGACTAATACACTAATTAATATTAATATCCTCAGAGAGATCAAAAATACATCATATCCATGTAAAAAGTGATTCTTTTAAACACTCAGAGAAAAAGAGCTTGTGGAAATTAAATATATGAATGTATGATTGCCAAATTTAAAATTCAAAAGAATGGCTGAATGGCAAAGGTAACAAAGATTCCCACAATAAAGATAAAAAGACAAGAACATGGAAACTTTGACAGAAAAGAAAAAGAAACATACAGAATTGGTACAAGACATTCCATTTTCACCTGACATGAATACAGTAAGGAAAAACAAAGAATAGGAGGACATTGCCAAAATGAAGGAGAAAAAGATGAAAATCTTCCAAGCTGATGAGAAATTTGACTTTAATCTAAAAGAACCCTCAGCATCAAACAGAACATATGAATAAAGATCCACATTCAGATGCATTATCCCAGAATTTCAGAGCACTGAGAATAAGGACTATACAAATAAGTTTCCAAAGATAACAAGATTCAGACAAACATGAGGTCCAGGTAGCCTGTGTTCAAATCCTGGCCTTCACACATCACAGCTATATGGTTGGACCAAGTCTTTCTGGGGCTCAGTTTCTTCATCTGCAAAATGGGGATTATGGCAGTAGTAGAAAGTTGTTGTGGGGAGGAAATGAATTAATTTCGTTAAAAGACAGGGCCTGAAGCCAATTACAATCAATGCCATATGTTCACCTATTATTGTTATTCAAGAAAAAAAAGCAACCGAGAAGTCAATAATTATTTGTCATCGACATTATGACGATCTCTGCAGTGTTCATTTCACTCCCTCCCAGTGGAGCAGCTATGTGACTTAAAGTTGTAAATGGGTGTAACTCCATCCCTTGCCTAACCAATGATCTGTATCCCACCAAACCACTAATTAGTTCTGGGATGCCTACATTTATAAAATAAGAGGAAAACTCCAGGCTTCTGCCTCTGTAGCTAGAGCAGGAAATGCTTTCCTTCTGCTCTCTCTCTGTTGTAGACCCCAGAAGCTGCTGGTCACCTGTGAGGAAAGTTATCACCAAGCTTGCGCAAAGTCCATAGCCACGATCCCACCGTGGCTGAAGTCCACACAACCATCCTACATTTTAATGGTGTGAGCCACAAAGCTCCCTTTCTCATCTAAACTCATTCAAGGTGGGGTTTTTGCTCTGTCCAACCAAAAGCGCCCTCACTGATACATTCTAGGCTGGAGCCTCCAGACTAAGCCCAACCTTGCATCAGGCATTACCTAGATGATGTATAACAATAACAGGCCTTTGGATGAAGCAGTGAGGGAGGAGAAATTCAGGGTCACAATCAAGACCACAGTGAAGGTGAGGATGTTCATGAGGACACCCATTCTCAGCACTAACCACTGGTGAGCATAGTTAAGTAGAAGAGGTGACAGGAATTCTCATCGTCTAGCCTCTCAAACCTAAAGTCAAGAAAATCAGAAAAAGCTCCTGCTTTTTCCGGTTGTGCTTCTGAAGACTTAGGATTAGAGTGACTGGAGAAATAAGGCCAGGGACTTTTTAATCGAGGAGAATGTACTCTCACATAGCAGACTCTTACAAAAATGAACATATATTCTTGCTCTTAAAATCTTCTATGTTAGACATTTTTGATTTGCATATATTTTAGGAAATCTCACGTGGCAATAGAGTAGGGCGCTAAGTGACTCTTTCTGTCTTTCCCAGGACTGGTAGCTAGAACCCACAGCTGAGAAGAAAAGATGCTGAGTGCTTTACATTCTAACCCAGAGGATCTGTATCATGGAGTCAGCCACACTTCAAAGGCCTTGTGGAATTGACAATTGGCCCCTCGATCTATAGAAAGGGTGCGGTGGATTGTGAAGGAGGTCACCTTTAAGCAACTCAATGTTTGTGACCATAGAGGAGGGAAGGGAGTGTTCATGACAGATTTCCCTCCCTGAATCAGAGAAAGAAGAGTGAAGACAGTTGCTTATAAAGCTGGGAGCCACTTCAAGGGAAGGAAGCTGACACCTTGCATCCCTGCTGCACATCCATGGAGCCAAAGGGCTTGGAGACGGGGGAAGGAGCAAGAGAAGAGTGACAGGGGGATGACACAGCCAGAGGACAAGGGCAAGATGCACCCCTGGAGTTCCTCATTCCCCATGTATGTATGAATGGCAGTTGAATTTGTATGCTGTATAGCTACATGACAGAAACAGGGCTGTATTTGGAAGAATATTTTGACTAAGCCCTGGGGAAAATAAGTTAGAGTTGAAACAGAGAGGAGGAGAGGGCAGTGGAGTCCAGGGAGGCTTGTCAGAGGGGCTTTCAGGCAGAATTTTGGGAGGACTTTCAGGACAGCATGGAACAACAGTGCCTGAGGACGTTCACGATGATGCCCAAGGAGAAACTGTACCTGAGAGAGTCGTGATGTATGGAAGGCGGATCCCATCAGCTCCATAGTTCCTAGGGCCGAGACAGCAGAGGGAAGATGACATTGGAGGCTGTAGTCATAATTCCATGGTCCCTGGCATGAAGCAAAGGGGCCTCCACATCAGAATGCGGTGTGAGGACGGCCAGGCAGAACTCAGAGGAAGACCCAGCAACTCTTACCAATGCAGCAATGCCAGCAGAACTGCTGGGGATCTGGCCCTACTGGGGCCTCGAAGCTGCCGTCCCACATCTGCACTGTGCAATACAGCAGCAGGAAAGGGCAGCAGAAAGGAGAGGATGGTCCAGAGGTACCAACCAGTCACCTGAGGATGTGTTCTTCCTGCTGTCCCCTTCCCAGCTCCCCTGCATGGCCATTAGAGAGCCAGGCCTGGAGAAAAGGAGGAGAGTGTTTGAAAGCACAGAGCAGGTGCTTCTCAACTGCAAGCCTTCCCCACCCCGACACACACACACACACACACACACACACACACACACACACACACAGCATAGCCTTGCCACACCAAGCCTCTTGGGGAAAGAGACCTGTGTGTTGAATACATTCAAGACTGAAATTTTCACCGCACTGAGCTGACCATTAACCAAAAGACACATCAAATTCATTTGCCACAATGGCTTCCCTGATCTAGTAGGGAAGGGCTTCATGAGAACAGCTGATAGAAACTATTGGGGGGAAAATGAAAACCTTCTCATGCTTAAAGCCCTAAGGAGGTACAATTCCTCCCCTGGCATCGTCGAGAACATCCTCAAGCACTGCTGCTCCATGCTGCCCTGAAAGTCCTCCCAAAATTCTGCCTGAAAGCCCCTCTGAACAGCCGCCCTGGGTTCTGCCACCCTCTCCTCCTCTCTGTTTCAACTCTGACTTATTTTCCCCAGAGCTTAGTCAAAATATTCTTCCAAACACAGTGCTGTTTCTACCTCGTTGCTATACAGCATACAAATTCAACTGATAACCTCCGTGACCTGGAAGTCACCTGCGGTCTTATCTGTGTGGTTGGTTAGATTGCACGGAAACAAAATCACTATCTGGAATAAAGCTGGAATTTGCCTTCTAACCTTTTTACATTTTTTAAGCTGTAGCATTTTTGTCTGGTGGTAATAGCAGAAACCCAAGCCCTGTGGAAAGAAAATAGTAAAAGAAGGGAACCTCCATCAATCATTCTTGGCTCCCTAGAGGATCCTCTCAGAAATCTTGGAGGAGAAGCTGTAGACAAGGCTCACATCTGTGTTTGTCGTGGGTGAACAGACTAATGGCTCCATGGATTTTACTCATGGCCAGGACATTGGAAGGGTCTGTGTGTGAGGCAGGACTCTTGACAAATGATGTTCAGGTCAAACTAGGGTCAGGATTAGGAGCTGACTGAAGTAAAGACAAAGTGTGATGTCAAGTCTACTCTGAGATCCTGAGATCCAGAAAGAGAATTAGATGCAATTCTAAATTTAATGCAATTCCGGGCCAGGTGCAGTGGCTCATGCCTGTAATCACAGCATTTTGGGAGGCCAAGGTGGGTGGATCACTTGAGATCAGGAGTTCGAGAGCAGCTGGCCAACATGGTGAAACCCTGTCTCTACTAAAAATAAAAAATTAGCTGGGCATGTAGCCCCAGCTACTCAGGAGGCTAAGGCAAGAGAATGACTTGAACCTGGGAGATGGAAGTTGCAGTGAGCCGAAATCGCGCCATTGCACTCCAGCCTGGGTGACAGAGTGAAACTCTCACAAATAATAAAAAACCATAAAATATATAAATAAATTTAATGCAATTCCAAACTTAGAATGCATTATATGCACCCTTTAGAACTGCATCTAATTCTTTCTCTCTGACGGATGTGTTAGCTTTTTAAGGAAGGAAAAGATAGAAAATCTATGTGGAAAAGGCTGCTATGGATTCATCAAACTCCATTTTCTTTTCCTCCTGTGGACACAGCCGGACTACATTTCCCCTTGCAGTTAGGGGAGCCCATGCAACTCCAATCTGGCCAATGAATGTGCAGAAATCTTGGGATGTTTTGCTAGGTTTGGACCATAAAATTCCCCATGGGTCCTCCTTCCTGGTCTTTCCCCTAGTCTCAACACAGAGGATCTGAGAGAATACTCCAGGGCCCTTAGGATGAAAGATCCCCAGATGGATATAGACTCTGCCTGAGTGTGGAGTAGAATCCCCTACCCTTGCTCCATGGACCCTCACTAAATTATGACATCAGGAAAAATACTAATTTATTGTATGAACTCCCTAAGATTTGGAGTTATTGTTACCACAGTGAGCCTACTGTAATTAATATATGTGTGTGTGTGTGTGTGTGTGTATACAAACAAATGTATATATATATATATATATATGTGTGTATATGTGTGTGTGTGTGTGTGTGTGTGTGTGTGTGTGTGTATATTTTTTTTTGGAGATGAAATTTCACTCTGTCACCCAGGCTGGAGTGCAGGGGCACAGTCTCAGCTCACTATAACCTCCACTTCCCGGGTTCAAGAGATTCTCCTGCCTCAGACTCCTGAGTAGCTGGCATTACAGGTGTCCACCACCATGCCCAGCTAATGTTTGTATTTTTAGTAGAGACAGGTTTCACCATGTTGGCCAGGCTGGTCTCTGACTCCTGAACTCACATGATCCACTCACCTTGGCCTCCCAAAGTGCTGGGATTACAGGCATGAGACAGTGTGCCCAACCTGATTTATGCATTTTATGTCGTATTTTAGAAGTTTGAAGCTGGAAGATACCAGAGAGATTTACTAACATAGTCCCCATATTTTAAAAAGAAGAAAATGCTAAGTGAAATGAAAGGTGGCCTTTAAAAATGATAAGGAACATGTAATAACATAAAACAAGCTATTTCAAACATTCAACTAAATGTAAGAAATGATTATAAATACTTAAGAAGAAAAAGAAGACTCTATGAATAGAAAAAGAGAAAAAAACTGAAAGGAAATATATGAAAAAATTAATAGATTTGTGTTGGAGGGTGCTGTAAGTGATTTTTTTCTCCTTTTTTCTGCTTTGTCCTATCTTCCTGAATCAAATACATTTTTACTGTAAGAGTAAGATTATTTTTACTCTTAGAGTAAAAAATAGAACAAATGAGGTTGTCATTGAACAAGCTCCCCTCATTCACATCTGCTGGAGCCCCAGATGCTGGAAGAGAGGCCATGAGGCCATGTGTCTTCAAGGACTCCTGATTCCTCCAGCTCTTTGTCTGCAGTCAGTCCCCAGCATCCCAGACTTCCCTCCTTCTGTGCCCTCCCCATTGGAGTCAGGCATGAAGCGTGGGGGCCTGGGGCAGGGCCATGCATGGGACTCACTTGGTGATATAGTTCTCCTTCTTGCCATAGGCGTGAATGATGCCCAGGCCCTCCGCAGAGAAGGAGACGTGGGAGAACCAGGGTGACCAACTGACTTTCTCCACCTTCTTGAGGTTTTGGACTCCTCTGTGGAAAATGCTGAAAGAAAATTGAGAGGAGCCAAGTGGGCCACAAAGTGAGGTCTCATCAGGCTTGCCCTCGCACATACAGAGCTAACTAGGCACTCAGCACTGTGCTTAAGTCAAAAGTGGTGCCATCTAAATGGGGATGAGGAGTGGACCTGCCATTTTGCATCAGGGCCCATCCCAGGTGTGGGAGTGGCTGGGGCGTGAGAACCATGAGTCAGCTGCGCCTTCATTTTGCCATAATGCTAAGTGCTTCTTGTATCAGGAAGGTCTTGCTCTACAAGGCATGATTCTAGCCTTCAAAGACCAAAATTACTCTCATACAGCACAGCCCCTAAATATCAGCCAACCACTTTTTGGTGCTCAGCCAGAGAAAAAGTGATCTGTTTTAACTCTGGAAGAAAACCCAGTGTGTCAATTGCCAACATGTAGCCTTCTAAAGGCATTTTCAAAGGTAATTTTGAATGAACATCATCATAGCTGACTTTAAAACCAAACCCCCATGGGACTTAGCTCCTCTTCATGTGGAAGCTCCAGAAGCTCTGGTGAGCAGGAGACCAGGGACCTCGGGTATGCACAGCAGCTGGCTGGCCCCCAAGAGAGAAGACCTTCAAACCTCCAGACTCTCAGCTAAAATGAACACGGGGCAGCAAGGAGGGAAGCCTCATTAGTGCAGAGCAAAAGTGGGTTGGTTGGAAACACTTGGATAATTCAGGCAGGGTGAGGTCTGGTCTGTCTTGTCTTTATAGCTAGAAGGGTGGGTATGGAGCTAAGAAAGAGCTTTTACTAAATAAATCAACTGCATAAACAGGAGGACAGACAGGAACAACAATCAAACAGGAATGACAGAAAGGAACATGAGCTCAAAGAATCCATTGTAAGAATGACATCCAGGACTTGCTTTTATCCTGTAAATGACTCTCAGAAATTATTTGTATTTGGTCACCACAATAAACCCTTGAATTCGGTGACTCAGACGATTTCATTTTGAGGCAGAAGAATAGGGTCTGGAGGCAGGGAATCTAAGGCCAATTCACACTGACTTCCTAGAACTAAATCAAAATGAAACCCCCAACTTTTCCTGCCTAAGTAACAAAAGGATCAGAAGCTACTCCCTTTGCAAACCTGCCCTTGCCTTTTTCTGGGTGACAGATGAGAAACTGAAAGTACCTCTGATTGGTCCCCTCCCACAACCAAACAAGCTGGTGGCAGGCCAAGTCTTCATTTGTATAGTAGTGACTTTGTGGCTTCACCTCAGCCACTGATTGGTCACTTTTTGCCACCAATCAGACTGATCATGGGCCACTACTTCATTTGCATACGGTGTACACAAAGTAGCCAATAGGAAACCTCTACAAGATATTTAAGCCCCAGAAAATTCTGAAACTGAACTGTTAAGCCCCTATGCTCAGGCCTGAATGTATTTTCATTTTTAATCAATCTCTGCTTTTGTTGTTTCCTTCTTTCCTTGTTTTGTGTGTTTTGTCCAATTCTTTGCTCATAGGTGCCAAGAACCTGCAGACCCTCCACCAGTAGCAATTTCACTTCCTTGGGGCCACCACAGGGATAGTGAGAGACAGCAGCAAGAGTCCAGCTCTCCCAGCTCCCTAGGGCACAATGTAGGGCACAATGTCAGCTCCCAGGGCCATACCTGCCCTATCCCTGCACAGAGGCCAGCTCTCCTGCCCCAGCACATCTCCACATCTGCATTTGCCACTGTCCACAGACACCATTAGCAGACTTGTTGAACAGAACTGAAGCATCCAAAAACAAACTCTTAACAAGAGTAGAGCCTCATGGTTAGGAACATAGCAGAGAGGTGGCAATCATGGTTACCAGTTTCTTGGCCTGGGACCAGTGCTTTAATTTCCCAATAATTTCCACCTTTCAGGGTTGCGCTGAAGCTAAAATGCCAGATGTATGCAAAGCACTTAGCATAGCATCTGGCATTTACTAAGTACAAAAAAATCTATTACTCAGCCTTGCTGAGTAATCCATTTTCTCGGTGTGGATTTTTCCCTATGTTATAAACCCATTTCCAACAAACTTGGGGGCTCGTCCATGATTCTGTTTCCCCTCTGGGACAGTCCTTGGTCCCTTCTTGTGGGGAGGTGCCCCTCCGACCTATTTGCAGTGGCCCCAGGGGAGAGAGCCAGGACTTACCCAGTGCAAGAAATAAACCTGGATTCTTAGCAAAGCAGCAATACAGACCAAATAGATTTCAAACCATGGTGACCAGAGGCCTCGGCCAGGCAACCTCATGCACAAGCCAAGGTAGGAAATGTTGCAAAGGGACGATGAAGTACTTCCTTGGTGGTTAACTTCTGGAGGGTAGAGTGTGTGTGTGAATGCGGTGTTGTTTGCGAGTGAGGGATTCTTCCTGGGTCCACAAGGGGCAGGGTTTCAAAGGCAGGAGTTTCCTGGCTCCACCACTCCATCCAGGAATGTAAGGTTCTTTGTCTAGCTAGGTTTCCTGCCCTTGGGCTAGGTAGAGAAATGCAGGTGGACTTCTTTGTCCAAAAAGCCTGCTGAAAGCTCTGGGAGGAGGGGGCTCTGTTGTGGACCAAGCAGCCAATCCAGTTTCAGAGTCAAAGATCAATCACTCCAGAAGTTTGAAAGAACTCCTCTCATTGGACAAGAGCATGAATGGGGAGGGAATAACTCCAGGGTTAAAACTCTGCTGCTCCTTACCTGTATGGACATCCTTCTCCAGATTCCTCTACCACAACAGTGTGAGAGCTCTCTTTCTCTCTTTCTATCTCTCTGCCTAATAAATCACTCTCTGCAAAACTCTTTGGGTCCATGATGTTTATTTTAATGGTAAGCTCACCGCACCTCCAGGGGCCCTTTTTCCATTATTTGAGGTAAGAGAGGCCAAGGACCTCAGACTGGGAAACTGGGAGCGTCTTTGGGACAACCCCGCTCCCCTACTCCGCCCCTCCCACCCCGGTTACATGAATGGCAACAAGTCCTACTGCTGGGGAGTGGCCAAGGAGGATGGCATGCATGAGAAGAGTGTGAGGGACCCTCAGAAGGAGGAAGGGAGGAAACAGGTCAACATCCCAGGACAGTGACGGCGAGAGATTCCCAGCTTTGGGGGTTGAGTTTTCCATAAACAGAACAGGAAGAGATTCCCAGCTTGGGGGGTGAGTCTTCTGTAAAAACAGAACAGGCAAGAGATTCCCAGCTTGTGAGGGTTGAGTCTTCCATGACAAATGATAAAGTATTGCTGTTTTATTTGAACTAAAGGACTGATCCTCAAGCCCACAGTTGTCTGGCCAAAATTTGGGTTGGATGGGGATTAGGTCTGTCAACTCTTAAGAAAAAAGAGGGAGAAAGAAAAAAAAAATTGACTATGATCTCTGTTGGCGGCAGGGGCCAGTTCTCTACTTATTAAGAGGAGGAGGAGGCCCGGCGCGGTGGCTCAAGCCTGTAATCCCAGCACTTTGGGAGGCCGAGGCGGGTGGATCACGAGGTCAAGAGATCGAG